AAAAAAAAAAAAAAAAAGACCATCTAGATTTAAATAGATAAAATATCGTTAATAAATGAAGTATGCACTAGACTCATTATGGCCATTTTAGTACTTTTATTTTCATGTCAGTCTAAACTAAGAAATAAACTTTTGTGATAAGTTTTATGAATTAAGTTATTATACTTCATCTTAGTAATATGAAGTTATCATGTTTCTATTTATTTTAGCTATTAGAGAATGAATGATAATTTTATATTTAATAGTTAATGCCATTTTTAAAAAAAGATTGTATTACTTGCACTCGGCCTCTTATTGGTCGAATGTCAATTTTTTTAAAATTTCTTTATTAATGAACAGTGCACACTCGATCATTTAAGGAGCTAGTGCAAGGAGCAATGCTTTGAAAAAAAATATTTAATAATTAATAATTGTTATTATTTATAATTCAAAAATTTTTATTTATAGAATTAAAAAAAATAACTATATCAATAATTTTCTAACAATTGAATCAATCATAACTTATATTATAATTGATTAGCTAATATTTTTATAATTTATAAATAAAAACATTGTTTTACAATTCCAAACATTTTGAAGTATAAAAACACTTTTCCTGTTGTAAACTGAATTCCCCTAAAGAAAACATGTGGCGCATAATTTTTTTTTTTTTTTTTTGAGAAAGGCAATAGTTAGAGGTATTAATGTGTTAGAGGTGTTAATGTATAAAAAAAATATTAAATCCGAAACATGAGATGTAAACTACGACCTGTCCAAAAAAATAGTAAGTGACTGTTGCGCCACACACGTGTAATACACATGTAGCGCATAATTGTTGGGAAAGTTTGAATCCAATTTGCAATTTATTTCGGAAAAGACAATTTTGCAGAAAAGTCGCCATCTTATGAAATATGAAAAAGAAGTCTTCGTGCCCCTTTATTTAGCCAATTAGCCCCAAGGGAGTGACCCTAAGAACAACACCGACAATATATAGGATTCGATTTGTATTTTCCATCTGTCGAAGCCCCATTTAGCCAGTTAGCCCCGAGAGAGTGGCTCTGTGGACAACACCGACAATTCCATATCTACATTGACTGATGATGTTCTAGAGAAGGGAAAAGAATATCTTATGCTCATCGTATTTATTAATTATTACTTAAATAATGACATTATAACGGAAGGGCTAGTGGCAATAGTATGATTAGAATTGATTCTTTTTTTTCAAATATTATTGATCAAGATTTAATTTTTTAAAAGGTTTTGATGAGAGGAGAGACGTAAATTATTTGTTTTATACTAGATTAGTAATAAAATTATAATATTTTTATTTTGAGAGAAATAAAAAAAATTTGAAGAGAAAAGTTTGTAGAGTAATTAACTTTACCTTTATAACCAAGGTTTGAATCTTTATTTCTTCTCCTCACTCCTTTTTCTTTTAAGATTTTAATTAATTAGCATGTCTCATTAAAAAAATAAAAGAAAGATATATAATTTTTTAATCAATTAAATTGTTTGGTTTAGGGTAATAATAAAATAAACAAAAATTGAGAATAAAAACATGAGAATAAGGACGTAACATATGTCATATTATTAAATTAATTCGACTTATATAAATCATGCATATATTGATTGAATATATTCTACTATTCTACTAAACAAATACAATATGTTCAACTATTTAATACCAAGAAAATTTTAATCAAACTGGTATTCGGGAATTTAAAACTTTAATTTTGAATCAAGAGGTGGAATTTAGACTTTTATAATATCAAATAGCTCATAATTTATAAAAAATTAACTATGTACAATGTATAAGAATTCCTTAGTATAAATTGATGTAAATCAAATTCAACATAAGAAAACAAAAGTTAGGCGGGGCATAAATGGCTCTTCCCGTTTGTTCTGTTTGATCAAAATACAACAAAATCAAAATCAAACAAACAGTACTTTATAGAAAAAATAAACATAATAAGAACAAAAAATTGAAAATCCGGATTCCAATTATGCTGAGAAAACGTAAGCTAGGGATTTCAACTTTTGGGGTTAAATAAAAAAAAAAAAAAGAATTATTTTATGGCGGATTTCTAGCTTTTACAGCAAAGCACTAGTTTGACTGTTTTTTTAATTCTTTCTTGTTTTGTGCACTTTTTACTAACTCATATCCGACTTCTTATTTACTCCGCCTTTCATACAATTTCGAGGCGAGGAAAAACCTTTTTCCAAAATTCCAAAATCACCCTTTCAATTTTAGCTGTTGTTCCATTCATGTCCTCCTTTTTAATATTTCTAACTAAATTAGTGTTAATAAGTTAAATTTATAAAAAAATTATATATTTTTATAAAGTATTAGGAAAAAAAAATTAAAACAATCTCATTTTTGCTTTAAAAGCTAACACTTGGTATGAGAGCATTAGGTTGTACTTGTAACTATAGTTGTAAGTTTTTTAATTTTTTAATATTTAAAAAACATATAAAATGTATTTAATATTTATTTCAATTAATAATTTTATATATCTTTAAAATAATAAAAAATCAAAAAATAAAAACTAAAACTAAAGCACCATAACCTAAGA